AAAAAAAAAAAAAAAAATTTGTTAGGCCATTGAGATAGCTCTGTTGACTAAGCACGCAGAGCCACCACCAAGTCTGGGTGTGGTGGTACATGTCTATTAATCCCAGTGCTGGGAAGGCTAAACACATGAGGATCACTACAAGTCTGAGCTGCCTAGTGAGACCCTACCCCAGACACATAAAAAGAAAAACAAAACAAAACACCAAAAAAGATTTGTTTCACTACAGGCAATTTTTAGCAAATAGGGTACAGTATTTGAAAGTAACAGGATATTTCCTTCCTAGTTAGGAAAGGGTTTTAAAGTCTCCTATCAGTTTGTTAAGGATCTATAAGACTTAGAATCTTAGGAACATAAATTCTTCTATTTTCAATTATCTGTTCCCAGAAATGACTGTATAAACAATAATTAACCAAATTTCACACTTTCATTAGAGGATATCTAGTTTAAAAAAAAAAAAAAAACAACTTCAAATTGGCAAGCTAATACAAGACTTAACTTCATGAAAAACCCAGAATTGACAACAAATGTATTGGTATAAACCAAGACTGTAATATTTTAAATACCAAAAAACACTGGCCAGAAAGGGTACCCTTCAATAGCAGCCTCAATGCAATCAAAAAGGAAGCACACACATACCAAACCAAAAGGACCACCACCCAGCCCGTTCCCACCAAAACACTCCCAGCATTCTCTGAGAGGAAGGCATAAGTAATCTCCCCTTCCACAATGGTCCCTCTGAGTTAGATAATCACACTAAGAGTTTAAAGCCATTGTCTGTGGTCCATGTTGTCATCAGAATTTGGTTATGTATTTTGATTCTGCTACCTAAAGTATGATCACTAGATATCTGTTTTAACTAGTTGGGAAGGTGAGAAGGGGAAACAATTCTCCTGAATACCTATTTAAGTTCCTTCTCAGATGGAACAGTCATAGACAAAAGGACAGTGAACAACCCTACCCATTTTCCAAGTAGACAATTCAAACTGTAGTTGAGGGTTCTTAATTAAAGCTATTATTTCTAAAAAGGTTTATACACTGAACATTCTAAAAATGAGTCCAAAGTCACAAACACATTATCGAATTAACTTTTCTTAGCTGGGGCAAAGTTAATGCTAAAACTATTAGTTTCATCCATAAAGCATTTATGTAAAAATACTAGCTTTCCTTTTATAACTCTTGAATGACTTGACAGAGAATACTTAACAAATAGCAAGCAAAATAGCATAACCACATGCAGGAAAGAAATGAAGACAGGTCAAAAATACACCAAGAAATTCAATACAACTGGAAAACACTAATGGACACCAACATTTCTGCTTTGGACACCTGTTCGTCAGTGCCCTTAGATGCCCAAGGCCTGAGGTAATGTTTAAGCTTGAAAAAAATCTGTCACTTAACAGTCACATATAGTTGGCAGGACTGAAGCAAACTATAAAGCTTAACATCTGTCAAAACACTGTGCTCAAAGTCAAAAACATTAAATCCTTACACAAAGTTATCCTGATATGGACCTGGAATAGAGTTTAGTGGCACAGTACCTGCCTGGTAAGTGACAGATTGTGAGTTCAATTCCCAAAACAACTCACAAAGTTGTTCTATTCTGATATAAAGGTGAATCTCAGGCTGCATGGCACAGTACCTGCCTGGCAAGCTTGAGATCAAATTTGATTCTGGTTTTTTTTTTTTTTAAAAAGAGCTTCTTCTTAGTATTACAGCTTTCACCCCAAATAATTTTAAAAAGGGGACACTAAATGAGTTCAAGTCCAGCCTGGACTAGGTGGTGAGACTCTACCTCAGAAAACAAAGTTGAGGGGCTGGGGAGATGGCTCAGTGGAATAAGCACTTGCCTGGCAAGCGCAAGGGCTGAGTTCAATCCCCGGTTCCACCAAAAAACCAACCAACCAAACAAACAAAAAACAACACAAAATTGAGCATGGTGGCAAATATCTTTAATCTCAGCACTTAAGAGGCTGAGGCAGAAGGATTACTGAAAGTTTGAGGTAAGCCTGGGCTATATGGTAAGAACCTGTCTCAAAAATAAAACAAACAACAACAACAAAAAAAAAAAAAACCAAAAAAAAAAA